TTGTCAATGTATGAAACTTGGGATAATGCTATCCTGTTGTTTTTCCTATCTCGCAAGATACGGATTCCCAAAATATAACTAGCCGCTCCCAAGTCTTTCATATCAAACTGCCGTGACAACCATTTCTTTACGGATGACAATGTCCCTACATCATTTCCGATAAGTAGAATGTCATCCACATAAAGGATTAGAAAATTACTTTCTTCCCTTGCACACGCTTATATATACAGGTTTCATCTAGATTTTGGTCAAACCCGTAGGTCTTAATGGTTTGATCAAATTTGACATTCCAGGACCTGGACACTTGCTTAAGTTCATAGATGAACTTCTGCAACTTGCAAACTTTCCTTTAATGGCATTCTCTTACAAACCATTCAGGTTGCATCATGTAGATAGTCTCGTTAAGACGCCCAGTCAAAAAGGTTTTCTTAACATACATTTGCCTAACCTCATAATTATAATGAGCGGCAATGGATAAAAGGATTCGAATAGATTTAAGCACGGCAATCGGTGATGTTTCTTCCTTGGCCACTAGTATTGCTTTGAAGGTTTCAACCTTCCCATCTATTCCCATTTTCCTTTTATAGACCCACTTGCACCCTGTAAGTTTGACCCCATTAGGTGCATCCACAAAATCCCAAACCTGGTTAGAATATATAGACTCCATTTCTGAGTTCATTGTGGATTTCCATGATTCAAAGTCTACATCCTCCATTGCTTCTTTAAACGAAGTGGGATCTTCTTCTTGTTAGTAGAGATCGTCTGATAGGACTCTCCATAGAGCAAGTATCTAGAAGGTGGTCTAACAATCCTCCCACTACGAGTAACGATTGAAGGTGCCTGATTGTCCAGTCTGACCGAAGATCTTTCCTCTTCTCCCACTACTTGGTCATGTCCTTGGTCAGGACCAACCTCTTCATTATCCCCATTGGGATGGGTGTGTAGAGGTGCATCAATGGGTGCCTCATTCCCTACTACCTCTAGTTCTATTTCATGAAATACTGTGGGCATCACATTCTCACTTACCTCATCCGTGACTATTGGTTATGTAGGAGGTTCCAAGTCATAACTATTTGATTCTATGCGGAAATTTGGAACTGAACCATGTTCTAACTCCTCCAATAGAATCTTACTAGTAGACTAGTGTTCTTGTATGTACTTGTATTCTAAGAAGGTTGCATTTGTACTAACAAATGCCTTCTTATCTAGAGGACTATAGAAGTA